TGTGGCTTTGAACACTTGGCCAATCATAAAATGTTTTCCCACATTGGTTAATTCATACAGCTTCTCTTTAGTGTTGAGTCCTCTTATGTTTTGAAAGAATTGCAGTAACTGAAAGCTTTCCCACATTCCTTACATTCATGAGTTTCTCTCCAGTGTGAATCTTTTCATGTATTTGAATGTAGTAGAACTAAAGGCTTTACCACATATCTTACACGCCTAGGGTTTCTTCCCACTGTGACTCCTTTTATGATATCTTAAGGAAGAGTAACCACGAAAGGCTTCACCACATATCTTACATTCATAGGTTTCTCTGCAGTGTGACTCGTTTATGAATCGAAAGGCAGAGTAACCATGAAAGGCTTTCCACATATCTTACACTCATAGGGTTTCTCTCCAGTGTGAATCCTTTCATGTATCTGAATGTATGTGGAACTAAAGGCTTTACCACATATCTTACATTCATAGGTTTCTCTCCACTGTGAGTACTTTTATGATATTGAATGAATAACCACAAAAGCCTTTACCACATATCTTACATACAAAGGGTTTCTCTCCACTGTGACTCCTTTCATGTATTCGAATGTATGTGGAACTAGTAAACGCTTTACCACATATCTTACATTCATAGGGTTTCTTTCCACTGTGACTCCTTTTATGATATTGAAAGGAAGAGTAACCATGAAAGGCTTTATCACATATTTTACACTCATAGGGTTTCTCTCCAGTGTGAATCCTTTCATGTATTCGAATGTATATGGAACTAACGGCTTTACCACATATCTTACATTCATAGGGTTTCTCTCCACTATGAGTACTTTTATGATATTGAAGGGAAGAGTAAACACGATAGACTTTACCACATATCTTACATTCACAGAGTTTCTCTCTAATATGAGTCCTATTATGTTTTTGAAATGAAGTAGGAGAACAGAAGGCTTCCCCACATATCTTACATTTATAAGGTCCATCTCCAGTGTGCCTTTGAACACTTGGCCAATCATAAAATGCTTTCCCACATTGGTTACATTCATACAGCTTCTCTTTAGTGTGAGTCCTTTTATGTCTTTGAAAGGAAGTGTAGTAAATGAAGGCTTTCCCACATTCCTTACATTCATATGGCTTTTCTCCAGTGTGAGTCCTTTCATGTACTTGAAGGGAACTGGAGCGAAAAAAAGCTTTACCACACTGTTTACATTCATATGCTTTCCCTTCAATGTGAATCCTTTCATGTACTTGAAGGGAACGAGAACAACCAAAAGCTTTACCACAATGTTTACATTCATATGCTTTCTCACCGTTGTGAAGTCTTTCATGTACAAGATATGGATTGAGAGAAGCAAAGGCTTTTCCACATAACTCACATTTATAACATCCATCCCTACTGTGCATTACCATGTGTTTTTGAAAATTTGTGAGATAAACAAAGGTTTTTCCACATTCCTTACAGTGATAGGGTTTCTTTCCAGTGGAAGGCCCTTCATGTGTTTGAAAAGAGTAGCGATAACTGAAGTCTTTCTCATGTTGCTTACGTGTGTATGCCTGTTTTCTATATTCCTTAAATTTGTATGGTTTGTGTCCAGTGTCAGCTCTCATATGACTGTTAAGGGTTGAGTGACCAACGGAGACTTCTCCACACACACTGCTTTCACAAGGTTTTGCTCCAGTTTTCTTGTTCCGCATATGATCTGGAATCTGGCTTAAGTTTTCTCCATACTCACTACCTTGTTGACTTTCACAGAGTCTCTCTGCCATTCGAATTCTGTAGAAAATGAGAAGCAGTATTAAGGACTTATGATTTTATATTTATTAGTAAGTATTTCACTTGAATTTTTACTATAATTAAGGGAAGTGTAGGCCCTCAGCCCTGCCTCAATTGTTTGAATGTGAATGGACCACAAGCTTTGGAAGATGGCCCGCCCATACCAATTTTAAAAAGAGCAATATTCACATGAGGTCTCTTCATATGATATCAAATTAACTTTCACAGACATCAAACATCTTTGTCACATTTATGCATTTTTAGAGAAAATTTTCTGAGAATGAATACATTTGATGCTGGGGTTATTTGTTTTGTTTGCATGTTTTTAACATTTCCTGACAATGTAAGATTCTCTTGAGAGAAAAGCCTTTGTCTTCAGAGCACAAATTACCTTAGATTTCTCCTGAGATTTTTGTACTGATCTTCAATGTTCTGGTCTTTCCATTTTTTCCCTAAAATACAGACCCAGAAAAATAGTCGGGAATTACAAAATTATGAAAAACTTATTACAGTTTAAGTTCAACGTACACTGGAGTCATGCCTGATTTATATACCAAAGTACGCCCTCTCCATATTCCAAATCATAAAAAAGCATTGATGAGGCCAGGCACGCGGACTGCTCGAGGTCAGGAGTTTGAAACCAGCCTGAGCAAGAGCGAGACCTTGTCTCTACTATAAATAGAAAGAAATTAATTGGCCAACAAATATATATAGAAAAAATTAGCCGGGCATGGTGGCACATGCCTGTAGTCCCAGCTACTTGGGAGGCTGAGGTAGCAGGATTGCTTGAGCCCAGGAGTTTGAGGTTGCTGTGAGCTAGGCTGACGCCACAGCACTCACTCTAGCCTGGGCAACAAAGTGAGACTCTGTCTCAAAAAAAAAAAAAAAAAAAAAGCATTGATGAACAAGAAACACTTATTTTCTAATTCACTAAGTGAAGGAATATTGTCACCCTTACCTATAGCAGCCAGGTTCCTCAAGGTTTCCCACATCACATCTCTGTAGAGCTTCTTCTGAGAAGGATCCAGCAAAGCCCACTCCTCCTTAGTGAAGTTAACAGCCACATCCTTAAAGGCCACTGAGTCCTGGATTGTCACACATGTGTAGAGGAGGATGGGTGAGACTCACCATACCAGAAACCTTATTCTTAAGACTTTCACATGGATCTCCAAACATTCACTCCATGAATTTATAATCAGACTCTTATTCTCTGTCTATACTCGCTTCCTCCCACAGCAACTCTGATGGCACAATGGAACTGGTGAGTAAAGCAATAGCAGAATAGCAAAACATGTCTTATTGGTGAATCCAGGGAGAAGGATGTGTTACCTGGGTTACCATTAATGTCTCTTTGTACATTGGGTCTGTGGCACCTATCATAACGAAGTGTTAATACTAATTAGTGTACAGAACAAACTTAGCCATTATCAATATAGAGACTGTGACTCCTTGAATACACTTGTTCACAAAAATATAACCTTTGATGGTATTTTAGATGGAACCCCACCAATTGAATCGATGACAGAGTCTTACTGATAGAAAATGCCAAGAGAAGAAACTTTTGTGGCAAACACTACTGGAGTAGAAAAACCTAAATTGTTATAACTTGATGGGGCCCAGTCTTAAAAAAGCAAATATGACTAAAATTAAACATGTTTGTTTATCAGAGGACATTACCAATAGAGGGGAAAGGCAGCCCACAAAACTACAGAAAATATTGGCAAAGAATGCATCTGGAAAGGCCTTAATATGGTGAATATAGGCCGAGCATGGGGGCTCACGCCTGTAGTCCTACCACTCTGGGAGGCTGAGGCAGAAGGATCAAGGCTGAAGGATCGCTCCAGGTCAAGAGTAGGAGATTAGCCTGAGCAAGAGCGAGACCCCATCTCTACTATAAATAGAAAGAAAAATTAACTGGCCATGGTGGCACATGCCTGTAGTCCCAGCTACACGGGAGGCTGAGGTAGAAGGATTGGTTGAGTCCAGGAGTTTGAGGTTGCTGTGAGCTAGACTGATGCCATGACACTCTAACCCGGGCAACAGAGTGAGACTCTGTCTCAAAAAAACAAAAGAATATCTAGGAAAACATGACCTCACCAAACAAACCAAAGGTACCAGTGACCACTCCTGGAGTAATGGAAACATGTGACCTTTCAGACAGAGAATTCAAAATAGTTGTCCCAAAGAAGCTCAAAGAATTTCAAGACAACATGGGAAGGAATTCAGAAGGTTATCAGAGAAATTTAACCTAGAAGAAATGGATGAATTCCTAGCAGATAACAACCTACCAGATCTGCACAGTGAGAATCAACTGAATAAGAACCACCAGTAGTCTCACCCACTCACCGACGATACGCCGCAGGCAGCAATAAAAAGTCTCTCCTCAAAGAATAACCAAGGACCTGATGGCTTCCCTGCTGAATTCTATCAAGCATTCAAAGAACTAATACCAATCCTACTTAAACTATTCCAAAAAATACAGGTGGGAATGCTCCCAAATTCATTCTATCAGGCCTGTGTCACACTTGACACCAACACCCAGACAAAGACACAACAAAAAAAGTATAGGCCAATATCTCTGATGAACATAGATGCAAAAATCCACAACCAAACCTAATTCAATAACACATTAAAAAGATTATTCAGGCCAGGCGCGGTGGCTCACGCCTGTAATCCTAGCACTCTGGGTGGCCAAGCAGGGAGGATTGCTTAAGGTCAGGAGTTCGAAACCAGCTGAGCAAGGAGCTAGACCCGTCTCTACTATAAATAAAAGAAATTAACTGGCAACTAATATATAAGGAAAACATTAGCCGGGCAGGTGGTGCGTGCCTGTAGTCCCAGCTACTCGGGAGGTGAGGCAGGAGGATCGCTTGAGCCAGGAGTTTGAGGTTGCTGTGAGCTAGACGACTGACGCATGGCACTACTCTAGCCTGGGCAACAAAGCAAGACTGTCTCAAAAAAAAAAAAAAAAAAAAAAAAAAGATTATTGATTATGATCAAGTGGGATCATCTCAGGGATGCAAGGACGTTCAACATGGTTCAACATACACAAAATCAACATGACACATCTATACAATAAAGGAAAAACATACAATATTCAACTGATGTAAAAAGCATTGATAATTTCAACATCCCTTCACAATAAAAACTCTCAAAAACCTGGGTATAGAAAGAACTTAACCTCAACACAATAAAAGCCATATATGAAGACCAAGCTAGTATCTACTACAATAGGGTAAACTGAAGCCTTTCTTTATGTATGGAACAGAAGAGATGCCCACTTTTACCACTGTTATTCAACATAGTACTAGAAGTTCTAGCTAGAGCAGTCAGACAAGAAAAAGAAATAAAGGGCATCCAAATTGTTTCCAAAGACCTCAAATTATCATTGTACACAATATAACTTTATATCTAAAGAAAGCTAAAGACTCTATAAAAAACTATTAGCACTAATAAACAAATTCAATAAAGTTGCAGGATACAAAATCAACATACAAAACTCAGTAGCCGGGCGCGGCACGGGTGCTCACGCCTGTAATCCTAGCATCTTGGAGGCCGAGCGCGGATTGCTCAAGTCAGGAGTTCGAAACAGCCTGAGCGAGACCCCGTCTCTACCAAAAATAGAAAGAAATTATATGACCAAACAAAAATATATATACATAAAAAATTACGGCGCATGGTGGCACGATGCTGTAGTCCAGCTACTTGGGAAGCTGAGCAGGAGATCACTTGAGCCCAGGAGATTGAGGTTGCTGTACGAGGCTGACGCCATGGCACTCACTCTAGCCTGGCAACAGGCTAGAGTGTCTCAAAAAAAAAAAAAAAAACAACTAGTAGCACTTCTATATGCAACCTTAACAATCTGAAAAAAGAACCCAAAAAGTAATGCCATTTACAGTAGCTCCAAGTAAATAAATACCTTGGATAATTAACCAAGATGAAAGATCTCTATAACAAAAACTATAAAACATTGATGAAAGAAATTGAAGAGGCGGGTACTGTGGCTCAGCTATAATCCTAGAATCTGGGAGTCCGCAGACGTGGGGATCACTTGAGGTCAGGAGTTCGAGAGCAGCCTGAGCAAGAGTGACGGCCCATCTCTACTGAAAATAGAAACAATTAATTGACCAGCTAAAAATATAGAAAAAATCAGCTGGGCATGGTGGCATATGCCTGTGTCCCAAAACTCAGGAGGCTGAGTAGAAGGATTGCTTGAGACCAGGAGTTTGAGGTTGCCGTGAGCTAGGCTGCCACCATGGCACTCTAGCCGGCGGTAGCATTATGACTCTGTCTCAAAAAAAAAAAAAAAAGAATATCGTTAAAACGTCCATACTACCCAAAGCAATCTACAGGCGGCACGGTGGCTCAGGCCTGTAATCTAGCCTCTGGGAGCCGGAGGTGGGCGATGCTCAAGGTCAGGAGTTCGCACAGCCTGAGCAAGAGCGAGATCCCATCTCTACTATAATACAAAGAAAGTAATTGGCCAACTAATATATGTAGAAAAAATTTGCAGCGCATGTGGCGCATGCTATAGTCCAGCTACTCAGGAGGCTGAGGCAGTAGGATTGCTTCAGCCAGGAGTTTGAGGTTGCTGTGAGCTAGGCTGATGCCACGGCATTCACCCTAGCCTGGGCAACAAAGCAAGACTGTTAAAAAAAAAGCATCTACAGGTTCAATGCAATCCCATCAAAATACCAATGACATCCTTACACAGAATAGAAAAAAAAAACCCTAGGGCCAGGTGGGGTGGCTCACGCCTGTAATTTAATAACTCTGTAATCATAACACTCTGGGAGGCCAAGGCAGGAAGATCACTCAAGGTCAGGAGTTGGAGACTAGCCTGAACAAGAGCAACCCTGTCTGCACTAAAAATGGAAAGAAAATTAGCTGGACAACTAAAAATATATAGAAAAAATTAGCCTGGCATGGTGGCAGCACATGCCTGTAGCTCCAGATACTCGGGAGGCTGAGGGAGAAGGATGCTTGAGCCCAGGAGTTTGAGGTTGCTGTGAGTTAGGCTGATACCATGGCACTCTAGCCCTGATGACACAGTGAGACTCTCAAAAAGAGAGAAAAAACCTTAAAGTTTATATGGAACCACTAAAGACCCACAATAGCCAAATCCATCCTGAGCAAAAAGAACTAGAGGATCATAAGACCTAACTTCAAATTTAACTAGAACTCTAAACAAAACCGCCACTGGCATAAAAACAGACACAGAGACCATAAGAACAGAATATAGAATCCAGAAATAAATCCACACATCTATAGTGAACTTATCTTCAACACAGCTACCAGGAATATACATTGGTGAAAGGACAGTCTCTTCAATAAATGATGCAATACATGATGCAGGGAAAATTGGAAATCCATATGCAAAAGAATTAATCTAGACCCTTATCTCTCACCTTATATACAAAAATCAAATGAAAATGCGTTAAACACTGAAACCTAAGACCTGAAACTATGTATTAAAAGAAAACACTGGGGAAACATTTCATGACATTGGTCTGGGCAAGGAGTTCTTGAGTAATACCCCCAAAACACAGCCAACCAAAGCAAGATTGGAAAAATGGGAACATATCAAACTAAAAAGTTTCTGTACAGCAAAGGAAACAATCAACAAAGTGAAGAGGCAACCCACAGAATGGGAGAAAATGTTTACCCACCTGCCAAGGGATTAATAATGAGAATATGTAAGGAGCTCCAACAACTCAATGGAAAAAATATCAACCCAATTAAAAAATGAACAAAGGAGCTAAGACATTTCTCAAAAGACATACAAATGGCCAACAAGTATGTGAAAAAATGCTCAACATCATTAGTCATCAGAGAAATACAAATCAAACTACTAGGCGGCGGCGTGTGGTCACGCTGTAATCCTACTTCTTGGGGGCGAGGCGGGCGGATTGCTCGGTCAGGAGTTCGAAACAGCCTGAAGCAGCGCGAGACCCGTCTCTACTATAAATAGAAATAATTGCCAATGATATCAGTATATAAAAAAAAATTAGCCGGCATGGTGGCGCATGCCTGTCAGCTCCAGCTACCCGGAGGCTGAGGCAGAAGGATCATCCGACCAGGAGTT